GAAAAACACGTACGCTCAGTGTCAGTACACCTGCCTGCAGAGAAAAACACGTACGCGCAGTGTCAGTACACCTGCCTGCAGAGAAAAACTCGTACGCGCAGTGTCAGTAAGCGTGCCTGCAGAGAAAAACACATACGATTAGTGTCAGTACAGCTGCCTGCAAAGAAAAACACGTACGCGCAGTGTCAGTAAACGTGCCTGCAGAGAAAAACACGTACGCTCAGTGTCAGTACACCTGCCTGCAGAGAAAAACACGTACGCGCAGTGTCAGTAAACGTGCCTGCAGAGAAAAACACGTACGCTCAGTGTCAGTACACCTGCCTGCAGAGAAAAACACATACGCTCAGTGTCAGTATGCGTGCAGACACACCTGCCTGCAGAGAAAAAAACGTATTCTCAGTGCCAGTACACCTGCCTGCAGAGAAAAACACGTATGCTCAGTGTCAGTACACCTGCCTGCAGTGAAAAACACGTACGCTCAGTGTCAGTACGCGTGCAGACACACCTGCCTGCAGAGAAAAACACGTACGCGCAGTGTCAGTCAACGTGCCTGCAGAGGAAAACACGTATGCTCAGTGTCAGTACACCTGCCTGCAGTGAAAAACACGTACGCTCAGTGTCAGTACGCGTGCAGACACACCTGCCTGCAGAGAAAAACACGTATGCTCAGTATCAGTACGTGTGCAGACACCTGCCTGCAGAGAGTCCAGTGTCCACGCACCAGTGTCAGTACATGTGGAGGTTTTATAAGCAGACATGAGCAAATAATTAGTTGCGTTAATGCAAGCTTACCCTGTGTGGCACAGCGAAGTCGCAAGATGAAGAGCTGTCTGCCCGCCAGAGTCTTTGCTATCGATCTTCGCTCCGTTTTGCAGCAGGAACTCACAGGCTGCTATAGATCCCTATAAAAGAGCAAATCATGCTGTATGTATGTATGTAAAACCAGGAGGTTAGAGTAAATCTGCATGCAACATTCAGCATTCTGTAGGCATTCGCCATTATTATCTAATGGCCATTATAAATTTGTTGCAGGGCTTAGCATTTTATGCTATATCAAAATATTATTCAAACGTATTAAAAAATTAGCCCATTTGATGAGATAATTGAAATCTTTTATTCACTAACTACTTAATAAGCATACTAGTTAATAATAATACTGATTCTTATTAAATCTGCTAAATGTAATTAAGAAATTCATTGGCATCCTTTAGATTACCTCATACTTGGCATCACTTCTTCTTCATTCTGTATTTGTATTTATGCACACTACAATCAGAATCACCGTATGTTCATAAACTGACACTTGGGCAGCACAGGAAACTGCTTTCCCAAGCCCCGTGTCTTTTGCACGCACGCACGCACACACACCTATCTATTACCCTCCTACTCTTCCTCCTACTCCTCCTCCTCCCCCTCCTCCTCCTCCTCCTCCTTCTCCTCCTCCTTCTCACGCATGTTTCATGTGTGCATTCCCGCTACCCGGCTACCGTTAAAGTCCCCTTGCTTGGGTAGACCTGTCTGTTTTCTCCAGTATCCCTGCTTATTCAACACTGACAGCTGTACTCACACTCCGCACAGCCTGGTGCAGCGGTAGCTGTCCATTGTCATTCTGGTTGCCATAGATCAACTTTCCTCCCTTCGCCAACGCTTCCAAGATCACAGGTAGGTTTCTAGCGGCCGCTGCCCGATACAGCAGCAGGTCCGGAGTCAGACTAGACATGTCGTCGGCTACGGTGGCGCCCGCAGTTAGCGAGTCGCTGCCGACAGTGCTGTAGCTGTTTATTGACTCGCATGAGCTGCTGTCCACCTCCAAGTCTGCAATGGAGACAAAGTACCGTCAGTAAAGACGCCTCTCGATGATAATATTCTGCATCCTTGCACATAAAACTTCTATTCTCTTCTAGAGGCTATTTCTCACAGAGTACGATAATAGTCCTCGCACATAAATTTGGCTACTTCTCGCACAGTATGATAATATTCTGCACCCTTGCACGTAAAGTTGGCTATTTCTCACAGCACAATAATATTATCTGGCCTCGTGTGTCTTTATGAATATAAAACCTACTGTAATTAACTAGAACCAAATGACATAACAGTCACAGCCTATAGCCACAGTCGATAAAATCTCCACGTGGGTGCATACATAAATGGGCCTAAAGCTGGGTTTACACTACTGACTTTATGCTGGCAAATTGGCGAATTGGACCAACTATAGGTTGCAGTGTGTATGGACAGGTTTGTTTGCTATTAGCATAATCTCATATAACAGGCAGCGGGTGCCGAGATAGAAGCTTTTACCGGTGGTGAGACGGTCGATGCTCAGGGGTGTGCCAAACACAAGCAGCTCTGTACTATATCCTACGTCATGCGGCGGGCTAGAACCAGCAACTCCGACTGTAACAAAGAAACATGAACACAATCTCAACGAGCTGAAACCTTCCCCATTACACCACCAAGGGGAAAAAATGCGAGGTGATACAGTTTAGCGTAGACATAGGCATGCCTATTTGTTAACACAGGAAAAAAAATCAAATACACTAAAAATAAATATACTTGCAAAAGTGTAGCTGCTCGCATTTTCCTACTAGGGCGAGTACCTGTAGGGAGTGTACCTGTAGGGTGAGTACCTGTAGGGAGTGTACCTGTAGGGAGTGTACCTGTAGGGTGTGTACCTGTAGGGTGAGTACCTG